TGATGCTTGGAAAAAGTTTAGCCGTAGTGAGACAATAAATCTTGGAGATGAGATGAACTCACCAATGCATTCTCCCCAATCTACTCAAGTACACATTTTAGATGACGAGGACACTCCTTCGCCTAATGAAGCACACAACACATCAAGTTCTAAAGCTAAGTCATCCTCCGTCAAGGTAAAGGCTCGTAAGACCAACCTAGATAGTGAGATCATGCTAAAGATGGTGGATAAGATAGATGTATTTAGCACAAACATGAAGTGTGTGAATATGCATTGGACCGAGAAGTTATCCACGGTCCTATATGCTCATTCACATGACTTTAGTGTTGCTAAGTTAGATACATACTACCGTCACCTGTTTATGAATGAGCATGAATCTAGATTATTTATGGGCATATCTTCGGATGGTCAGAAGGAGATGATAGAGGCATTTCTCAACAAAGAGGATTGAAGACGTAGATCGTGGGTGTGTGTGTTAGTTTATGATTCTCACTTAAGCACTTTTTTGTTTGAAAACTTTTTTAATTACGGTTGAAGACTAATATCGTTTGGTTTAGAGACAATACTTTTTTAAAATGATGTTTAATTTTGTGGTTGTCGAATTGTATGACAATGACTAATATTATATTTATATTATAGTAAGTAGTTATTTGCTTTCATTTTATAATATTATCTTTCATACTGGGAATATTGTGGTGTACTAACCTTTAAATTAAACTTGTGACTGCAGGATATTTATAAGTCACCATACAATTTTTTAAGATGCAAGCAACCTACAATGTGCACACATTGTACTGGATGGCTATTCCTCTGGGTATTTTGTGTAGTAAGTTTTCATGACACGTGTTTACGTTGGTGACTTTTTTACTTTTAGGCTATGATTATTGGCATAATATCTGAGATTAGCAACCTGCAATATCTATTGATATTGTACTGGATGGCTAACAATGATGATATTTATCATATAATGAGCCCTCAGCCCTATTCAGTTTGGTTTGCATCAATTTAGGCTATGATGATTGTCAGATTTTCTGAGATTAGCAACCTGCAATATCTATTGATATTGTACTGGATGGCTAACAATGATGATATTGACTAAATTCTGAGCCTTCAGCCATAATCAGTCATGCAACTCTGTTTGGCTTTGTGACCATTACTTGCTGTTGTGGGTTTGCTGGTTTTGTGTTCTGTTTGGGCACTGTTTGGTTTGCTTGTTTTGTGTTCAGTTTGGTGTACTTGCTGTTGTGGGTTTTTTCCTGGTTTTGTGTTCAGTTTAGGCACATGCTGGTTTGCTTGTTTTGTGTTCAGTTTGGTGTACTAGCTGTTGTGGGTTTTTTCCTGGTTTTGTGTTCAGTTTAGGCACATGCTGCTTTGCTTGTTTTGTGTTCAGTTTGGTGTACTTGCATTTGCGGGTTTTTTCCTGGTTTTGTGTTCAGTTTGGGCACATGCTGGTTTGCTGGTTTTGTGTTCAGTTTGGTTATTTTGTGTATGTTGGTTGTGTTCAGGTTGGTTGTGTTCATGTTCTGGTTGGCTTTGTGACCATTACTTGCTGTTGTGCGCTACATCAGGTTTTGTGTAGCCATTTTGTGGCTGGTTGTGTAGCCGCATGTTGTTACTTGATTGTGTTCAGTTTGGTGTACTTGATGGTGTTGGTTATTTATGTGTGTAGCCTGGTTGTGAGCTAGGTAGGTTTGCTGTTTTAGTAGACTGGTTGTGAGTCATGTTATGTAAGTGTTGTGAGCATGTTCAAGTTTTGGTACGTGTTGGCTTTGTCCTCTACGACCGTTGTCTTGCAGGTAAAAATTTTTTCTATATATTATATTTTACTTCAATCATGTGGAATTAGACTTTTTAGTTTCACATTTATTTCTTTTACTTAAATCATATGGTGTTTTTGAACTGGTACCTAAACTTTGGGCAAGACTGCGCATTGTTAGAGGAGGTATGTGGGTGGATAAACGAGAAAGCCATTGTACATGTTTGGACTAAGATGACTCCAAATATAACAGATATTACTCAGGTTAGTCCCTTGTATCTTGTGCACTTCATATGAGCATCTCATGTATCATTTAATTTGGTTGATAGAAAAAGACATGGTGATGTTGAATTTTTTACTTGTTTAATATTTTGACCTTAATCTGTTAAATTGAAATTCTCAAGCATTGACAAAAATTCTGTTAAATAGGGAAAAAGACTAGGTTTTGATTCTACTTCCATACATAATCATGCAGTACGGTGGCACATGATTCTCAGAACATCAATTGCCCAGAATACCTTGTCACTTGATTTATTTCTTTCTAGCATAGTCATCCAGAAAGGTTGTATATAACAAGTTCCAGTCAAATGATGTTTAATTTTGTGGTTCTCTCTTGCATCTTTTTTAGCATATTTTTCTCCACCATTTATCTTTAAGATGGTTTCGTAAATGTTTATATATAATCAGATTTCATATATGTGAAACGAAAAACTATAGTTACACATTGTTCCGAGGAGCCACCAAATGAGAACCTCTTGCTTTCATAATACAGGAATACTCTAATAGAGGTAAATGATGAAAAATGATACACAGTCCATTTCAAAAGTTTGAGATATCTTCGTTCCTTTTGCATCTAGTTCTTTCGATATAAAACATTCTTAAAAGAGAAGTTAATGAAAATTTTAAAATGACAATTTAACCTATTTGAATATCTTTTTCCATAAATTGCATAAAAATCTCCTAATCATGCAGCACAAGTCAAATTGTCAGTAAAATGCTTGTTAGCTGTTCGTAGTTACGTTCTTTCCCCCTTGTTTATCATTGAAGGAGATTTGAAACTGCAGAAACATGGTATTTTGAAACTATTTAGTGTATTTAAGCAGAAGTGAAAACTACTGAAGTGCTTTATTCTGTACTTCCGTTCCCCTTTCACTCTGAAGCCTGTTGGTTTTGTTGATGCCTGTTGGTTTTTTTCTGCTGGGTTGTTGTTGCCTACTAGTCTGTTGGTGTTTTTGGCTGCATTCTTGATTTTGTTGGCTGATTGATACATCATTTTATTTGTTTTCATAAGTTCTAGTATCCAAACTCAGTTCATACCCAATTTTCTAACTCAGTTCATACCCAATTTTCATGAACTGAGGTTATTGTTGGCTGGTGTTGATGCCCGGTGTTGATGCCTGGTGGTGGTATTGGAATGCCTGTTGGTGTTATTAGTGGTGTTGATGCATGTTAGTTTTTTCTGCTGGGTTGTTGTTGCCTGTTGGTGTTTTTGGCTGCATTCTTGATGTTGTGAAACTGCTTGTTTTTTGATGGATTTATTGCCTGGTTCCTTTTCATGGCTGCTTGGTGTAGCCTGGTTCTTTTCTCGTTGGCTGGTTGGTGCATCATTTTAATTGTTGGGTAAATGATGTTTTTGTACTTGTTTTGGGGATTTCTGGTTGTGAGCCTGGTTGTGCTTGTTTCGGCTGAAACGAACCAAACAGCCCCTTAGGCTATTATGATTGTCAAAATTTCTGAGATTGCCACCTGCAATATCGTTTGATATTTGCACTGGAGGCTAACAATGATGATATTGACCCAGTTCTGAGCCCTCATCCTTAATTAATAACCAAATGCTGATTACTTGATATTGTTGGTTGGTACTTGTTGTTGTTGGTGTGCGCATGTTGGTTAAATTGGTTGGACAGTGGGTATTTTGTGCTCGACTTTTTGTGTGCACATGTTGGTTCTATATGCTGTTATTTGGGTATTTTGTGCTCCGTTTTTGTGTGCATATGTTGGTTCTATATGTTGGTTGGCAAGCTCTCTACGGCAACGATGCAGCAAAGACGAAAAAAATCCCCCTACAAGGACTTGCAATTGTTGGCCAAAGTGGTGTTGTTGTTGCTGCTGTTCTAGAAGCAAGAAAAAAGTATACAAAGAATAAGAAGGGAAGATATGGACCTCTTATGCTTTCTTCTCCTTTTAGTTTATTATTTTTTTCATTTTGCATTTACATATAGCCTGTTGGTGGTGTTGATGCCTCTTATATCTTTTTCCATTGCAGGCCGTGTTTCTTATAGATTACTTGATTGCAAATGGATCTGAACGTACACTTGATGATATCCTTGAGTGTAGTTTTCGGATTTCAGTAAGCATCTCTGCCTATTCAGAGGTTTGGTTTGCTGCTTGTGAGCTTGGTTGTGGAGCTTGGTTGTGAGCCTGTTCAGATTGTTGTAACTTCAACAAAATAGCCAAGTAAACTGGCATGATACAAAAAACTTGTATAAATATGATGGCATTTTTTATGTGGAGCTTGGTTTTATATCGTTTGGAATTAATTTCAAGCATGGTTTTTTGCACATATAGCTCATCAACATGCATAAATAATTCGTTTTGATGCAATTGGCTATGTTATATAAATATTTATGGCTATTCAGATTCTTTATATGTTTTTATAGGTTTCAGCAGAATTTTTGGGTAATTCGGGTATGTACTACATAAATTTATAAATAATCAGGTTATTACAGGATTCGTGTGATTTTTCCAATCTCAAACAGGAAAATTCGAACTTTTATATGATTAAGATTACCTCATAATAGGAGCACAAAAAAATTTGTATGTAGTGGGGGTAATCTTACCATGGTGATTATAAACACTTTTCTCTACAAATTTCAAAACGAACCAAACACAAGAAAAGTGGGAAATGTCACATCAACAAAAGTTTTCCCTTTTTTTCATGCGAACCAAACACAAGAAAAGTAATTACATTGGTTTCCCACCATTTTTTATGTGCGAACCAAAGCGAAACAATCTATTTCTTGGAAAAGTTTGGAAAACTCAAAACTTGTGTTTTTGTACATGGAAATGCATTTCCCTATATCAAGGAAACGAACCAAACAGCCCCTAAGTTTACAAGAGTTTTTTCTTATAAATATTCTTTCTTTCCAAAAACTTATTTGGTTATATAACAGAGAGGTAAGTGGTACGAGAAAAGATCACATTTGGGATCCTGCAATTCCTCCTCTCAGTTGAGTTTAGCTTTGAACTAATTCCCCCAACAGGCTTCCCGATTGGTGACTGAGAAGAGTGGAAGCGATCAATGAATAACAATAATACATTCTTGAAATTAAAATTAATAAGAGTGAGAAATAGTAAGAAGGGTATGTTAGTCTGAAGTGTAGACCCAAAGTTGAGACGAGAGCTGGAATCAAAACGACGAAGAAAACGACCTGACAGATCCACGGTCGACCACGGCGGGCGACCGCAAACATGCACAAGGCTGAGAAGAGACTGGGTCTGATCGCGATCGACCGTCGCGGTCGACCGCTCAACTCTCTGGAATCTGAGGAGCTTTTGTCGTCAGATCGCTGTCGACCGTCGCGGTCGACCGCTCAACTCTCTTGAATTTGCGAGGTCGACCGCCACGGTCCACCGCGACGCAGCCAAATAGTTTCCTAAACTGTTTTGGATTCTGTTTCTACCAGGATTCTATATATACCCCAAACGTTTTTAGGGTTTGAAAGACACGAAAAAAGAGAGTTTTTTGACTGAAAAGAGAGAGAATCTCAGAGAGATTAAACTCTAGTTTGAGAGCTTGTATTTCTTCTTCAATTAATAAAATAATTGTATGGTGTGGCTCCCGAGGACGTAGGCACGTTGCCGAACCTCTGTTTGTGGAAAATTTATAATAAAAGAAATAATAAAAGAATCGTATTTGATTTATTCTCTCTAACTGCTTAGAAAAAGAATGATTATAACTCTCTCAATCTCGATTACAATTGGATTTCCGATTACAAAAGAGAGGAGAATGATCTGGATTCTCCCCTTTGTTTAATTCTGGGTTCTTCACGGTGGCGATGGAGTGCCTCCCTCGAATGCTCGCGTCGAGTTTGCTCTCCGTTGACGATCCGAACGTCTTGATTCACTAGAACGTGGTCTTCTCCTCACGATTTGATGTTGTGGAGAACTTGTGTGGCAAGTTTGAAACTCTGACCGAGTTTAGAAGAACTTGCAGAGCAAGTTGGAAACTCTGGACGAGTTGATAACTCATATCGAGTTTAACTCTAAACGAGTTTGAACTCTTGAAAAAGAGTTGATTTGAACCGAAAGTTCAGTTAATCAGCCAAGGGAATGCTCCAAGGACTTTGTTGCTGCAGAAAGCTCCAAGATGCCAGATCAAGGATCCCCAAAAAGTCAGCCAAAAAAGAGGATCCGAACTCAGTTGAGTTTCCCACTATTTATAGGGGATTTAGGGGTGTAACCGCCCCCTTAAATCTCTCCTTAATGAGGGTTTAATGGGGTGTAACTGCCCCCCATAAATCTTTCCATGATAGGATAGTGATCCCATCAAATAATCTTGGGGAGAAAACGGTTCTGGAACCGTTCAAATCGTGCTTGAACGAGTCAAACGCTGAAAACAGCGTTCTGGGCCCGAACTGTGCGTTTCTGGACCTGAAACGCAGAGTTGGGCCTGTTTTAGGCTGAAAACGCACAGGTCGCGCTGCGCAGAGATGAACTGTGCGTTTCTGGACCTGGGACGCAGAGTTGGGTTCTGCATTAATTGTGCGTCTCTGGACCTGGGACGCAGAGTTGGGTTCTGCATTAACTGTGCGTCTCTGGATCTGGGACGTAGAGTTGGGTTCTGCATTAACTGTGCGTCTTTGGACCTGGGACGCAGAGTTTGGTTCTGCATTAACTGTGTGTCTCTGGACCTGGGACGCAGAGTTAGGCTGCGCATTAACTGTGCATTTCTGGACCTGGGACGCAGAGTTAGGCTGCGCATTAACTGTGTATTTTTGGACCTGGGACGCAGAGTTAGGCTCCGCATTAACTGTGCGTTTTTGTTGTTAGACGCAGAGCTGAACTCTGCGTTTTAAGTCCACAAAATCTGCGTTTCGAGTTTGGAACGCAGCCACGACCTCTGCGTTTTGAATCTCAAATGTGGTCACGACCTCTGCGTTTTGAGTTTGGGACGTGGGCATGACCTCTGCGTTTTGAATCTCAAATGTGGTCACGACCTCTGCGTTTTGAGTTTAGAACGCGGGCATGACCTCTGCGTTTTGAGTTTGGAACGCGGGCATGACCTCTGCGTTTTGAATCTTGGATGAAGAGCTGAGCCTCCGGCGGGCTCGGTGAACTTCAGCCTAAGTCCAATGTTCAGACGAAGTCTAGTCTTGCAGACAGACTTCAGAACATAACTTGCTGCGAAGAACAGGTCATAACTTTCAAATCGTAAGTCGGAATTGGACGAATTATATATGAAAATCGGCTATCTCGACGAGACGGAGCCGACCAAACTAACCCCACATGGTTTGGTTTGCTCCGTCGGTTTTGTCAAATTCCTTACGGTTTGAGAGATATCTGTGTTTTAATATGAAGAGACCGTCAATTTGTAGTCTCTTTTGCTAGAGCGTTGCAAAGATCGTCACCTTGTAACCTTCGTCTTGACTCCTTGTATTAGAGCTTTCATTAGTTGTTATGAAGGTCGTCAGATTGTAACCTTCTACGTGAAAGTCTTCAAATTGTAGCCTTCCGGAAGTCGTCAAATTGTAACTTCCGTCATCAGTGTTTGATGGGAATAAGATATCTGTTGTGATTTTTAGATAGCCTACAACCTCATAAATCTGTGTGTTCGTCTCCTTTACTATTTTTGCAAGGTTAGATCTTTATTTGTGGTATTTTCCTACTTTCCTACTGTCAACACAAGGTCCGAAAGGGCAAGGATCCGATTGATTGCTTCGGATTCTCCAACAACTGTTATCAGAGCTTCATTCAACAATTTGTGTGAAAGCCATGGTAGAGGAAAACAAATCAAAGATCGAGAAGTTCGACGGATCGGATTTCGCCTACTGGAAGTCACAGATGGAGAGAGGAAAACAAATCAAAGATCGAGAAGTTCGACGGATCGGATTTCGCCTACTGGAAGTCACAGATGGAGGACTATCTGTACCAGAAGGACACGGATCGGATTTCGCCTACTGGAAGTCACAGATGGAGGACTATCTGTACCAGAAGGACTTGTATCGCCTGTTGATGGGCAAGGAAAATGGACAAAAGAAGGAGGAGTCAGATGGTGATTGGGAGATACTGGATAGGAAGGCTCTAGGGCAAATCAGGTTATCGCTCGTCAAATCAGTAGCCTACAATATCTTGAAGGAGAAAACGACGGTGGGGATTATGGAAGCGCTCGCGAAGATGTACGAGCAACCGTTGGCAGCAAACAATGTGCATCTCGTCAAGTCTCTTTTCAACCTCAAGATGGCAGAAGGATGATCCTTCACGATGCATCTCAGCGAGTTCAACACGATTGTTGATCAGCTTATCTCAGTAGACATCACGTTTGATGATGAAGTGCAGGCCCTATTGTTACTATCGCAGTTGCCGGATAGTTAGGCAGGTTGTGTGACGACAATCAGCAATTCGACGGAGAATGAGAAGTTAAAGCTGAGTGAGGTGGTTAGCATGATTCTATCCGAGGATGTTAGAAGAAAATCGTCTGAATCAGAAGATTCAGGTTCAGCTCTAAGTTTTGAGAAGAGAGGCAGAAGCCAGAAGAAAGGAAACCAGAACATGAATCAGTCGAAATCAATAAAGAAGAGGTCGAACTCGAAGGTTAGACCTATCAAAGGAAAGTGTTGGAACTGCGGCCAAGAGGGCCATATGTCTTCAGTCTGCAAAAGTCCAAAGAAGAATGCGGGTGAGCAGGAGGCTCATATCGTGCATAATGCCTTGATTCTTGCAATCGACAGCGATTCGGATTCTTGGGTCATCAATTCAAGAACCTCTTTCCACGCCACTGCTAACATGAAGCTATTTCAGAATTATGTAACAAGGGACTTTGAAAAAATATATCTAGGGAATAATGAGCCCTGTAATATTGTTGAAAAGGGTAAAGTAAAGATTCAGATGAAGGACTCTAAGTGGACTTTGAAGAACGTGAGACACGTGCCGAACCTGAAGAGGAATCTTATTTCAGTGGGATAGCTTAGAGCAGAAGGCTATATTTCGACATTCACCGGGGATTCGTGGAGGATCTCCAACGGTACAATGATAGTTGCTCGAGGCAACAAACTAGGAACTCTCTACCTCACCTTACATGCGAGTGACACCCTCGCAATTGCAGCTGGCAAAGAGAGTACATATCTGTGGCACAATAGGTTAGGGCATATGAGCGAAAAGGAGATGAAAATTTTATATTCATAAGGAAAGCTAACCAGGATCGACGCCGTGAAAGTCAGGGTTTGTAAAGACTGCATCTTTGGGAAGCAGAAAATGGTTAGTTTCCAGAAGGGTGGAAGGCCACCTAAGGCTC